CTAATCAATTTGTTTGTATGGCAAGAATGGAGTTTAACTACTTCAATACTTGGTCTTGAGTAATTGCAGTTTTCTCACCAAAAAGACAAATACCAAAAAGAATGAAGTTAACAACTTTACATAAATTTACAAATAGTAAAAACTTAAGAAAAAAATTCCATTTAGAATTCTTCTCACCTGTTGAGGCTCTGAAAGATGAGGAACCAAGAAATCTTCAAACACTAATCTTGCATCCCAAACCATTCTAAAGTAAGACAGTTGGAAGAACCAAAACTCAGGATTGTCATCAATAAAAAGGGAGAGTTAAAAGCAAATTTCTCTTATGTATCGTGAAAGAGGTACATCAAGAAAACTGTATAGTGACTATTTCATTTTTTTTTTTTTTTGGGGGGAGGGGGAAGAAGACCGCACAATAAAACTTGAAAAACATTTTAGGAAGATATTTTCCAAAGAATAACTGAGCAACAACTGACAAATACACAGGCAATTGTTTCAGATAAGTGATATCAAAATCAAGGAAGATGTTTGAGAAAGCAAACCCAACAAAAATTAAATATAAATAAAATACATACTCAAGGATTCGTGCAAAGTACATGCACAGTCCATCATATTTGCTGGATCTTATCACCTCAGCTCTGACCACTGCCTGCCCCACACCACCAGGGTGAGGTGTTGATGTCACAACCCCTGGACTGTTGAATCCTTGTCTGACTCCTGGGGAAGCTACATAGCTACCTCCCTGGGTGATGCTTGGCTCAGCAGGATTACTGGGTGTACCAGCTTGGGAGGGGTGGTGTGACACTGATTCTCCATATTTGAAGAAAGCTCTTGTGGCCCATTCAGCAATCTGATTGTAACAAAATATTTTTCTTTAATTTTTTTCTCTTTGTACAATAAATGCAAGATTTACATTTAACAATTGTACAGGATAAAAGTAAATTATGGATTATTGTGAGTGGTAAAACATACAGGGTAATGTAAAAGGATGAAAAAAAGATTGAATAAAGGTAAAAATGACATAAGGCAGTCTGAAAATCCTCAAAGTAAATTGCAATGGCAACAGTTGCTGGTCTCTTTTAACAGATCTGCACATTACTTAACCCCCTTCACACGGTCATAAACCTAAAGCTGTCTGACATAAAATGCATATCAAACACAACATTAAAGTTGTGACAATTAGCAATTTAGGTTAATTACAATCAAGTATAATTTGGGAAATTGTGAAACAAGACTTACTTGTTGTTGGGAAGTCTGAGTTGAGCAAGCTATAACAAGACATGTTGCACAAGCCTGGTCTTCCTGTATAAATTACAAAATGATCTATCAGGGGGTGAGTCCATTTAACATACCTTTTTTAAGAAAAAAGCATGGTAACATTTTCCTGATCCTTCCATTCACTATTTATTTGTGTAAACTAACCTTATAACATTTGAAAAAAGCATGTACAGAGTCAGAGTCAAAACCCTGACTCTGTATCAATAACTGTTGCAGCTGTTCCACTGGACGATACGTTGTAAACAGATAACTTCCCTGTTGAATCAAAGTAACATCAAATTTTAATCAGATAATCAATCAGATGTGGAGTTAACTTTGAACATCAACAACTTAAGACCTGAGTTACTTAATAAACTGGGTATTGCCAGTGTGAATTAACAGCGGAGAGTTTTTTAGAACCTCTCAGTGCATTAATTTTGCTCTGTTATATCCTGATGAAGATGCATGACATGAAACAATTCCATGCAGGGAAGATGTAATTAGTGACAATTAACCACAGAAATTTGAAAGACAGCCAGCAAGAGATACAGAGAAGATTTTAATGGAAAAAGTCAATGGACATAGAGATTGGCAGACCATGTTCTAACCTGAGAACTTAGAGCAACATATGATCTCCGAGGGGATGCATGCTGCCTGACGACAGCAGGTGGCTCCATCCACTGGTCTCTGACAATGGGACAATGACTAAGCATGTTATTTCCAAATTCAGGAACTTCACTTAAAGACCAAGTTCGTCCATCCATAGGCACTGTCACCTTGAAAAATATCATCAATGAAAGTAACTTAGTAATAAACTGTTAACCCTTTACACCCTAACATCAGTAAGCATATTCTCCATACTGTTCTCCATACATTTCATTAGGTACTGACAAGGAGACTTTGTTTAATAACCAGGAAATTCTTCAGTTGATGATCATTTCTCTATTCTTATGACCATAATTTTTGATTCAGGGATGACATTGTAAGAAAAATAAGATGCTTGTTACTCATAGGGACCTCAGGGTTAACTAATAGAAGCAGTAATGGTAGTCAAAAAATTTTGAGTTCAGTTTGGAATAAATGAGCACATGTAAATTCTAACCTCATCTTAACTTACAACATTAATCTGTAATCTATTAACTCATACTGATCAAGTCTGTCACAGGTGATTCTCCTTGTAAATAAAATTTAATATTTTTGATTAATTGACAAATTATACCTGTGCCTAATAATAAAACAATTATACCTGATACAGGCCACACATGATTTGTCAGGGTAATATAAGACTTATTACTTGATTGTCAGGGCTATATAAGATTTATTACCTGCATTTCCTTAAGTGGTGTCTGAAAGGGAAATGAATCAGGACTGATTCCCCAAAGAACATCCATATCTTCAGTTTGAGAAGCAGCCATGAGTGAGATTCCTGAGCAAAAGAAATTCAGAAAACAGAAGATAACCACAAAGCAAATAACAGAATTGAAAATCAGGTGATAAATTTATGTAATTTTTAAGTTTCTAACACAATTAATGAGTCAAGAGTTAGCCTTTGCCAAAATAACTGTGATGGCAAACTTTACTCCTTTGCTTATTGAAAGATTGAAATAATTGGCAAATTTAGACAATTTTTGTCTACTGTATGAGCTATTCATCAGAGCAAAAGGGTAAAATTTCTATCATCAGCCTTTTGTAATTTTGTTTTTGGAGACTTAATAATTATTTACAAAAACAACAGAAACATCAGCTTTGGAAAACTGCTTTAACCTCTCAACCCCTTGGAGTGATTGGCATCTAATTTCTCTTAACATTATATCAGTTCATGAATAAAGGACATGATCACAAACAATAGAAATTCTTGATTTTGAAACAATTCTCCCGGTCAGCATCTTAGGAAATAGAGAACAGCATGGAGAATGTGCATATTGATGATGGTGAGGAACAGGTTAATGGTTAAATTCTCTTTATCATCCTTAATAATTCTAAGTAAGATATGAACATAAATTATCTAGCAAACTGTTCATGTCTAAATTTGTGATATCCAAACAAAAAAACCGTTCAGAATGCAAAGTGTTAGAGCTCTGAATGTTACTTGTTACAAGTTACAAAGGAGTAATTGTACCTTGTCGGTAAAAAGCTGCATGTACTTTTGAAGGCTTCTGTGAAGTTGCAGATGGTGCAAAACCTGGTGGAAGTCTTATGTGAACAAGTTGCAGTTTGGTTGGTCTTTCCAGTGGTGTTCTGATATTTGTTGTGGAAAAGTAAAGTCGCACACCTAATAAACAGGAACATACACTGAAACAATACCCTTATCAACCATGCAAATAATTTGATTGACTAGGTAAGGAAAGCCCTGAAAAGGACAGTTGTAAGTGAAGGTAACTGACATTTCAACAACCTGGGTGGAAGTCATCAGTTCAGTCAAGATGATAATGATGACAAGTTCTGCTCAGGGGTTGTAAAACATCAGTTACCAACACTGAGAATGGTCCTTTTCAGCACTACTCTCACTTGAACAATCATAAAAAAGAATTTTAGGTTACCCTTGAGTCAAAAACATTTACTGAATAAAATTCTTGGGAAACTAAACCATGAAAATGCAATTGCTGTTAAAAGGATATGAAATCAGTAAATCAAGGGGTGCATGTCAAAAGAGGCCAAAGTGACATCTGGTGAACTGCTAGGCTCTCCTTTCAAACTATTCTCTTGTGAAACACAGGGAGAAGTTGATGCTACATCAAAAGTCACTCTAAGCTTCATTCCAAACAACCCCAATGCACTCCTTTCACCAATCTCAATTTCAATTCACCAATTTCTACTTGCTAGTGTATGGATAATATAAGAAAAATTCCTTTTTTGTCACTCCTGAATGAAAGGGTTAACATGAATATAATGCTTACCAGCATGAGTGATTGCAACCAAATGAACACCTTTTGATTCATGCTTTGCTATAGGTGCAATGTGCACAATTGGTTTAAAAAGATTGCGATCATTGGTTCTGAAAACAGACAAGATGTAATCAATGAAAACAAACCTGTCATTACTATGCTATCTACCTCTTTAATAACCTCAACTCAACCATGGATCTTCTCATAGGTTTTGACATTTTTTTTAATGTGATACATGTTAAGGTATCAATTTTAAGCAACTAGTCTGACTTATTTCAACAAGAATATCTGGTAAAACTTGTGACATCTAGATATAGCACTCTTAGGGAATGTTATTTGTAATAAATCTTCCTTTAATTATTATTCAGAGTAATTTTTCCTGCAATAACCCTACAAAGTTGCTAAAACTAAACTGTTCTACCTTGCAGCAGACTCTGCTTTGTGTGTGATTTTGTCCTGAGTTAATGATGCAACATAGTCCATACTTTGGCCATCAGCACCAAGATCAAACACCTGTCAGAAATGAGTTGATTTGGTTATTGCAAGTGTAGCAACTAGATAATACAGTTTTTGCAATGGAATGCTCTCACATGATATGTCACAATCATGCAAACGAGAGCCTTTTAAGGGTTGCAGAGAGACAAAACAACCAGCAGAGAGACAGACAGATAGAAAGCTAGACAGATAGAGAGACATGCAGATAGACAGACACAGAGAAAAACAGACAGACACAGCAAACAACCAATCAAGTACAAGGAGAGGTAGACAAACAGATTGAGAGGAAGACTTACAAAATCAATATGATTGACTAAATAAATGTATAAAAACATACCTGAATAGTTCCTTTTTCTGACCGTGCATAAAGTGTGTTTCTTGTATTGTCAACTGCTAATTGTGCAATGGCATCTGAAACAGACCAATTATAGGTAACTTGTTGTGTGCAAACTGTGTACAAAGTTACCGATACTTTGTTATCCTCACCTTCACCACTGAAAGTAGAACTTAAAAATGATGGAACAAGGAAAGATAAGGTTCCTGAAGAATGATTTATTTTCCGGCAATTTCTCCATGGCAACCAACCAGCAGCAGCCTGTAAGGAGTAAAGAAACAATTTACACCTATGACTCATCCTTTCAAAATAAAATATGGGATTTACAATCTATTCAATAAAGGAAAAGTATCCTAAAAATTTGTCTAAAAATTTACTTTAAGAGAGTGATGAGAAAAATCAATCCACTGTAGTGCTTGATACTTTAAAGCTTTGCTGTTCACCCTTTTTTTCTCAGAAGAGATCAACACACAGTTTCTCTGTGCAATTCTAATGTTTTCTTGCAATCAGGTAATGAGAACAGACAAGCTTATCTGCTAAAGGTTGCTGTTTGATATCAGACCACATTCTCCTGTCTAAGTTAAGAGGAAATTAATAGCAGTGAGATGGGAGAATTGCTAATTGAATCTTGTGTAACTTGATAACTAACCTGATAAGCTACTTCATAAACACAGCCATCTTTTCCACCCATAAATATTCTTCCTGACTGAGTTCCAGTGATACAAGTCATGTAAATATTATCAGAAGGGATAGAAAACACTGGATTGGGATGAAGATGCATCTCTGAAAACTCATCATGGCTAAAGCTTCCTGAAAAAGGTTGAAAATACAGTGCATTTGAAGTAGTTCGTGCAATCTTAGGGAACAAATACCTGTTCTGCTTCCTGAAAAGGTCACAAAATTATGTGAAACAAAGTCAGGTATAAACTCACAATTAAGGCTCAACCAGGTGATATCAATTTAACAGATAGACATCATGTTACCTGGCACCTGTTTTGCAATAGATAACAGAAGAGATCACAAAGTGCCAAGAACAAAAGAGAGGTGTACAAAGCATAGTCCACTGTATCACTGATTTTCTGACTGCATTTTGATGTCTTCTGTGATCTATTACTGTACAGACCCAGGGTAACATGAAATTTATCTGTTTCATACAATACACAAGCAAAATTGGGTCCATGGTGATCTCATTTAAGCATCTGTCTTCCGATAGATCATAAATAAGAACCAATCAAAATGGGTGTATAATTGAGCTTATTTTACAACTCTTGTTACGAAATCGACATACCTAACTTCTTTGATGTAAATGTTACAGCTAGAAGAACAATATCAACTGGAGTTGTAAGGCACAAGATGTATCTCACTTCATCTTTAAAGATCTCTACAAAACATTTGAAAAATAATAATGCAATGGGATGTGTAACATTTCAAGAAGAGAGAAAAAACAGTTAGCTGGCTGGTTGTCAGTGATAGGGAAGCTATGGGAGCCTTAGGGGTCAATGGCTTTTAAATCATTGACCTCTAAGAGTGACTCACAACTAATTTCTCTTTACAATATCACCCCTGGATCAAACACTATGGTCACAAGACTAAAAGAAATGATCACCAACTAAAGGCACTCTTAATTGTTAAATTAATTATTCTTGTCAGCACATTGGAAAATGTAGGGAGAACAATTTGGAGAAAATGCATACCGAGGTTAGGGTGTAGAGGGTTAATATGGCCAGACATACCCTCTGCAAAATAAATGCATTGTTTTTGTTGCTTCAATGATTAAACAAACCTGGCTTAGCTTTCACTAATCCTGCACACAAAATAGTTTCATCCAATCCATCAAAATAAGCAGAATCACTCCTATAATGAAACAGAAGAACATAATCATATTTACATATGATAAATTTTTTTGTAATGAAGTTTCATTCAATAACAAAAAATGCCTCCTCGGTCATTTGGTAAAATGGTTCATTGCTTAATGCCAAAGTGTGCACCAGAACATCAAAATCACACAAAATTTAAGCTAATTTCTTGGTTCACTTTGTTTTAGATGTACCAGTGAGTGATCAGCTATATAGCAATGCAAATTTTGAGCAAAGTAAAAAACACACATAAATCATATATCTGTTGTAGTCCAAATTTTTTCCTTTGATTCTCCAATTTTTTTCAACTATGGTAGTTTAATTTTGGCTGTGTTTTGTCTACCATTAAGGTAACTGATTTGAAGCATAGGAAAGTTGATACTATCCTAGTAAGAAAAATGTTTAAAATTAAAAAAATTCAACACATTTCAAAATTCACTTACCCATCTTCATAATTCCAAACATAAATATTACTATCAATGGTGAGCCATGCTCTTCTTATCTCAGGAAAGAGACCCATCATACAATTACACTGCATGTCTATGTAGTTTAAGTCAAGGATTTTGCAGTGAAGCATCTTGTATTTTAACAAATTAATAAATACTTCTTAAGAATATCTGTGATAAGCAGTCACTAAGAGGTCAGCATGCTACACTTTTGATGAAAAGGTCTTTGTTCAAGCCTAAGCCAGATCATTGTATTGTATTCTTGGACAAGACACTGGTCTCCGATAGTGGCCCTCTCCACACAGGAGTATACATGAATACCAGAAAACTGTCAAGTTAGCTGTGGTAGAAAGACATCTAGGCCACATGGAGTGGGAATACTCATAAATGGTGACTTTTAGCACAACAAAAACATTATTGTCACATTCTTTACAATTTTGGCTAGTTGTACATATAAATTCTTGATTCAATATGTTTACCATTGAATGATCTATAAGCTTGACTTACACAACTAGACATTTTTTTCAACTTGAATGACTAGACTCACTCCATTATTTCTCTTTTAAACATCCAAATAAGACAACAACAGACACCAACAAATAAATAGTGAGAGGATACAATTAAACTGTTCCATCAGCTCTGCTGGGAGGAGAACTCTTTTAAGCAGACTGACCAGCTCCAAACCAGCCAGGCCAACAGATGGTGATGATAATGATGGATAATCAAAGTCATTTATTCCACTGAAGGTTGTCTGAACTACCAAGACAGTAAAAATAATTTTTAAATATTCAGTAATTGTTTTTTGCCTTTCAACTCCTGGAAATGACTAACATGTGTTTTCTTCTTACAATCAATATACATTACCCAGCAAAGAGTGATGAGAATATACAAGAGAAAGTATTAACTGAAGGATAATGTCTCAAGGAACCACCAAATTCTCTCATACTTATCTAGACCAAAATATAAAGAGGTCGCTAAGGAGAATTTCAATTGATACCTTGGGAGTTGAAGAGTATAGCAATTATTTAAAACCTGGTCATAACAGTACAGTAGGTAAGTTCCTGAAACAGAACTGAATGCAGGTTCTACTTCCCAAGGGGTACTTCCTAGTTACAGGCTTATAGGCATGTGCAGCTGGATAGGTGGCAAAAATTGCATTGGTTCAAAAGCAACTAAGATTGGGTCCAAAATTAGTCACAGCATAGACTACAATGAGGTAGGGGGTTCTGAAAGGCTAGTAACACCTAACCACCAAATATTGACCCAAGTTTTTCCCCCCTTCTCCTCTCTTGGGTTCTACTGCACATGTTGACTACCAGTGTTTCCACAATCACATTCATAATCCTATGAGCTCAGTAAGTTAGCTTTCTTTCAGTTGCTTTAGTTGAATATGTATATGCATTATAGGGACAGTCATTATTCTGCAGCAAAGCATTTCATTGATGATCATAAGCTTAATTAAGTTAGATCAAAGTACAAATTAAAATGTTCCAATTAATTTTGACACAATCAAAGTTCTGTATGAGCTTTGACCCGACTTCAGTCTGGCTAGGTTTCATATTACAGGAGCAAACTCAGAAAACTGACCGGAAGAACCCACTTAAGGAAAAACTTACTTTGCTGGGAAGCGTTGATCAGCTCCGACAGCTCAGGAAACTGTCGATCTGCAGCTAGTTGCCGATCAACTTCTTTGGCGGCGTTTTCCAGCGCTTCCGGAGTTACCATAGAACCAAGAGAGCTAGTTCCCACAGCTATAGACATGCTCGAGGCAGGATTGTTACTCAGGTTTAAACTTAACTCCAAATATCTGTCATTTCAAGGAATTACACATGGCAGCACATTTTTCGAAGTAAGCGCTCCACGATACCACGCACACTCAGAAGTACTTCCACGAAAGCCTGGGCACTAATACCGAGTCTCTCACGAATTTCCTCCACAACAAACAGTAAGGCAAATGAAGATTCAATTTAGGGTAATATATTCAACAATCTTATTTCTTCCTTTTCTGTAAGTTTATAATGCAAAATTTCGTATCTTAACCATTGCGAACGTGTTCCTGTATGCTATGGTCATGACCTTGAACGTGTTCTTTTAACAGAAGCGGAAAAAGGCCGAGAACACCCGATTGTATTCCGATCACGGAACACTCAAAAATGACGTCACGTTACGACAGCATGACATTTGTTGTTTTGAGAATAATTTTTCACTAGACAAAGTAGCTGGCCGGTAGTGAGTTAAGTAAGTGCCTCAGTTTAGTCAGTCATCTGCCTCAAATTTGTAGAGCTTCAGTTTATCCCATTATGGGAAACTGTTTAAAAAGCTCCGGGCAAGACGATATATCTCTTTTACACGATGAAGAAAGCGCAGACTCCCCAACAACAGGCGAACCACCACCGCCATATCAGGTCGAGAAACGTTTTCACATATTGCCGCGGTTGATTACTTTGGCGAGTATTCCTCGTCACTCATGGCGCTTTTTTTTCATTTTAGGAGGAAGCGCCAATCTTTATACAAAGTCAACATGCTCCTCATCTCCTATCTGAAGAACAGCAGATTCGTTTGGCTCAGCGTTTAGGCTTGATTCAACATCTTCCAGTCGGAAAATACGATGGATCGAAAGGAAAAAAGAGAGAGTATGTTAAATCACTTTTGTTTTCAAATAATTCACACGAAGAAAGGATACATCCTTGGGTTTGTAAATACTATATAAAAAGGATGTAGGTTATTGGAAAAAATATTATTCAAGTAAGTAATTAGCTATGAAATGCGATGAATATTTTATTCAGAACGCTCGCTCTGATTGTTTATCGAGCCACAACATGCTACGTATATTTTCCTTGATCAAGCGTCGCTACATTGGAATGTTTCTTTGCTAACGCGATGTTGGAGCACTTTAAACACCAGCAACAGAATTCTGCTTTGTTTATACTTTCACTTTACTTCATGAATACATTTGATAGAGGAAGCGGTCTGATGATTTCGTTGAACGGAACATGTTTCTTCAATCTTGTGAAGACAAGCCAATATATTGTTTATTTCATAGCCTACGCGAGAATTTTAATTAATGCCAACAACTACACTTTCAGTTTCGTTTCCATTTCGGACTTTTTTTTTCCAAAAAGGACCACGATAAATACACGCGATCTTCCTGAAAGAACTTTGCGCTATTGTTCACTCTGCTCATATCACTTCCGGTAACGAGAGGGTCTTCATTTCCTTATCTTCTTAAAACTGGCAACTTTTGGTCACTTTCTCACAGAGAGACATATCGCATTCCCTGGAAATGTCTGCACTTGTAAATGTATTTCGTGGATCAAGAATTTTCATTGATTCGTCTTTTGGTGACTATTTATTCTCGCTGTGAATTAATGATGTTGTCCTAACTACTTGGAATGCGTTGAAACCACAGCCGAATTATATTTGAATGTTGAGTGTTTTTAAGTGCTGGCCTATTCTTGTGTTTGTTCACCACACGATTCTGATCATTTGCATAACATGTAGAAAGTTTCGAATTCATGTTAGGTATAAAAATTTCAAGCAATGCGTTTTTTCTCTTACTTATTTCGATGTTCATATGATTGTTTGGGCAGCCACAATACACGATGGAACGTTTAAAGTTCGATGTAATGGAAGTACAAGTGGCACAGATTAATTACTTTTTACCAGAGAACAATGATTTTTTCCTTTACTGGCACTAGCACAATTCCAGATCAAGTCAAGTGTTTCATGTCTTGTGTTTTCCACATGACAGTATGCATTGTATGTCACGTTCTCACACGTAAACGGGATGTGTCGATGATCAATATAGTTTATAAAAGATATTTCATTTATCTTTTAACTATTCACATGTAGATGAAAAAGCACATCGAAATGAGCCCTTAGCGACCTCTTTATTCCAAGTTTTTAATTGATGATATAGAATTATAAACCATAAATAGGAACATTGCCTTGTATGTCGTTGATTGCTAGTGTTACCAATCTGTGGGAAACTATCTTAGTGGGGTACAAGAAATTGTCATTACACGGTAAAACTGAACCATGGGACACTAATTTTTGCAAGTAATTCTAACCTCATATTTTCCCAATCATTGGGATGAGAATACAAGCAAAGATAATAATTAAATGCATGAGTTTGAAGGATTAGTAATACTGCACTTTATTCTTACACTGTACAATTTGAAATCCACAGTGTTGTTTATTTCAAACACTTAAGTATGAAAAGGCAAATTTATGCTATCTGTGATGAAGGCAATTATGCTAAAAGTGTGACTTTATTTTCTTCAAACAGGTGTGTTATTTGCATGACAGACTTTGCTATGGGGGATCCAATACGGTTTCTTCCTTGTATGCACATATATCACAAAGACTGTATAGAGGATTGGCTGGTGAGATCATTCACCTGTCCTTCATGTATGGAACCTGTAGAAGCAGCTTTATTGTCAACATACTATGAAGCATCAACAGAATAACAACAATGTAATTATGTCTTTGAAGAGACAAATGATAGACATTTTTTCTAATGCCTCTTTTTACAAAAACATTGGGCTGATGGAACAAATGGAACCATGTTCCTGTAAATCAATCTGGTGTTTTCCAGAGGATTCAAGAAAGTAATTCCTTTTCAGATAGTAGCTTACTAAGGTGCTATTTAGTATTATTTTGAAGGTTTAAAAGGTAACACTATTTCATGTTCAAAGAGACATGACCCTATACAATATTTCTGCTGTTTCTTTTTGTTTGTATGTTTTTAATTTGGAGTTATTAGAATTTCCTTCCCATACTTGCTGTTTTAAAAAATTCATGTTCTTTTTTCTTTACACATGGGTAACAATGTCTTCATCTAATAGGAGCTGTAAATTTTTCATTTAGGTAATTTTCTTTGTCTTTAGACACTCCAAAAACTGTACAGATGAGATCTTTTCATTCTCTTTCAAATCTTATGCTATTTTTGACCTGAAAGAACTCAGCCAAATTATGCATCAATGTAGAAGAATAAGTTGATCCTTTGTAAGTTTTAACCTTCTGCCATTACCAGATTATGTTTCAGTCAAGATGCAGTTAGGAAGCTGGATTGAGAGTCTAGTCAAAGTGAGGTCTTTTGCCTGTCATCTTTAATTTTGAGTGTGTGAATCCAGCTTATTTTGTTGTTAGCACAATTGGATTATTGGGTATTAATGATAATAATAATAGTATTCATTGAGAGAACCCAGCCTGCCAAGGTGGTTTCCTTCAGGGTCCTCAAACATGTTAACTTGTACTCTGGGAAACTTCTCTTTTGCAACTGCATGCTTAGAGCTATGGTGTCACAAGCAGAAGTTACCACAGATCTTTCATAGTACTATCCGAGTGTAAGTTTTCTATATTAAGTAAAACTTGAAGCTTCACTACCACCTACTTGGTTAGGAATGCATAGTACAGACAAAATCACGCCTCTCAGTCAGTATTTTACTATGGCCACTTTGTTGTGAAGACCTGTCTTTTCTCCCCTAAACAAATGGAAAGCCTTGTAATTTTCATATCAGAAGTCTTAATTTTTTCCAGACACATTCTTCAAAACTACAGTGGGCATCTAATGCACAGGTGTTGGTATAACTTCTGATGCCCTACTTAATTCCATAACCCTATTTCTAAGAGTAGTCATTGTTAATTTTCCTTTTTCTGATTTTTAACAAGAAAAATTGACTGCTTTCCTTTTCCTGTAAAGTTTATAATTGACCAAAGCTTGCATGTGGAAAATTTGCAATGCTTAAACAGCAATCTTTTCTTTCAAAGATGCCACTGTTATTTTGTACATAAAAATAAATGTTGTTCATGTTTTTATTATTTTTATTATTGTTACTATTACTATTATTATTTAATGGCAACTGCACTAAACTTGTGGTTACCATAATTTCAAGGTTGAGTCTTTTGAACAGTCTAAATAGCTTAAAATTAATTGTCTAATTTTTATTATAGATATAGATAACAAACCATGTACATGATTCCTCTTTTGAGTAAAGCTGTTTTGTATATAGCCAACTTCTATGAATAAGTTAATATTTTAAAATGTAAAATACTTATTGAAACTTGTAAATAAATTTGACAATTTAGAGGTGGAGGTTGTTCCAAAGTTTTAGGCCCTTGTAAGATTCCCCCCCCCCCCCCACCCTTTTCAACGTACATGCTCCCTTTCAAGGACTCTTTAGTGTTAACTGAGGGGGTCCACAGGTTTAAGCCTTATGAAGTTACTTTTAAGAAGAAAGATCCACTTCTCCCTGCAGTTTTACGAGGGCACACTTGGCAACTAAGAAGGTGCCACACTCTATCTGCAGTCTCTTAAACTTTTAACCTCATCTGTGACCAAGACAGAAAATTACCTTGTAATATCAGTACTATATCAAGCACACAAGTGAAGAGAAAACTGAAATTAATCAATCAGGTGATTAGTAGTTTATCCAATACCAAAACCCCCAATCTAATATCAAGAATTGTGTTCAAATAAACAAGAATTACTTATGAGATCTCAGAATGAAAGGGTTGACCATCATGCACACTTTCACCCAGCTCTTTCTTCCCCCAATTAAATCAAATTACTGAACATATTTCAGCTAAACTTCACCCTTTTCACTTCATTACTGACCAAATAAAATATCTTCAGGCAAAGAGAGTTTACTTTCAGCTCATATGATTTTGAGGGTAGAAAGGAGAAAGGAGAAAGGAAGAAAGGAGATCACAAAACAGACTGAAAACAATAGACTAGATGAACTTGACCATGACATATTTTATTTCTCATCATGTTTCAATAATGCAAGAAAATGAAAAATTCCCCAAAACAGCGCACATTTAGTGGTAACCCAGGAACCGCAAGTATAATTCTTTGCTTATGTAATTTGTGAACATCTTGTTGGTGTCACAGTAAAGTGTTCAGTCATTCTCCCTTACTATGGCTGGCTTTAAGTTTTGTGGTTGGACAACCAAAGAGCTCCATAACTAGGAAGGTTATGCCATAACTAAATGATATTGAATTAGTTTTAATTTGGTTTACAGAGTTAACTGATGGTATCAAATAACAATCCATGATTCAAATCCTGAGAGAAAACCAACAAATAATAGCAAGAAAAGCTGGGGTCAATGAAATATGTGATCAGACAGTAAGGGATGTTTTAAGTGTACATTATTATCATATTATACACGTTTTCAAAGCCCCAGTTGTACTTTTTATAATGAAGGTGAAATAAAATGACCCACATGTTTTCTTCCCAATTTTTATAACACCCTAACAACAGCAGCAGCAGTCGTCGGGGTTTATTTTATTATTCATCAAAGTAAGAGATTAAAAGAGATCTGCACTCATACATGAACCTACAAATTGTACAGAAAAAAAATCACTGAATTTAAATCCTTGGCATAACCATCACAAAATAGAAAGAGTGGCAATTCAATAAATTATGAAAACAACAGAAAATAAAACTAAGATACTCCAGATAAGATATTCAAATAACCTAAAAGTAGTATATTTGCGCTATCAGGTGCTCAGTTTTACTCTAGTTTAAACAATTTTTTCCATTCCAAATACATGAAGACCTTCACATACTCTACCAGTTAAAGGTATCAACACTATTTAGCAAGAAAACTGGAGCATAAGTTAATGCATGGAATAAGATGAAGGGATAGAATTATTTCTTTTTCTTTCAACACACATCACATTATCTCTTTTGTGACATTTTAAATTAGGAAGTCTGAAGTAACCTGCTAAGATGGAGACATTGTCCAATATTACTGAGCAGTATAATGAGCTGTGTCCTTAGACTTGTCAGGTGCTTCTTCTAATGGCACTTCATTATTTAATAAGATTGTCTTTTTTCAAGACCTCTGTTGATAGAGAGGTAACTACTTATAAAGTCTGAGAAACTGTCTTCTCTTTAGTCAAGTACATCAAGCATATTAATTTCCTTGTTCCTTTTTAGTGTGCAGCATTCAAGTCTTTAAGGAACAAGTGGGTATCCACAGAAAGCTTGTTAGCCAAGAGTAGGAAATTCTTCATTATTCAATGCAAAGTTTGTACCACTTTCATTGGAATCTCCACGACTACCAAACCCACCACGTCCTCCACCTCCTCTTCCTCTTCCTCCGCGGCCACCACGACCCCCTCTATCACCTCTCCCTCCACGATTGCCACCCCGGCCTCCTCTTCTTGGTTCATTATTCATTTTAAAATCAAAAGGTATGTCAACTGTTTGCTTGACACGACCAGATGTCTTTTCTTTGACTTCAATGACCTTAAGAAAGAATAAGAAATGTTGCTACAACAATATTTTAAAAGAAAGTGGCAATCTTCCATAATACACTTACGCATTTCTCACTGAACTAGGCATAAAGTGGACAAAATGTCCAACAAACATATGTTAAATCCTTCAACCATTCTTTCCCTCAATTTCTCCACACTCTGACCAAGTGATGTTCACTTACTCTTCTGGCGCCATATTCTCCCTCTTCCTCAACAGGTTTTTTAAGAACTTTAGTATCTTTCCACATTCCTTTTTTCTCTCCTTCACCAGCTTTGCGCAGTTCAAAAGTTGCCTTTGCTCTTTCCTTTTCTTGCAACTCCTTCCACTCCTCTAAGCTCATTTCCTTTGGAGCCTCTTCTGCCTTACTTTCTTCATTTTCCTTATCTTCTCCTTGAGCCCTGAACATAGCAAACACAAAATAAGCTGTAGTATAAAAATGTAATCCTTAACAGTTTTTCTTGGGTTGGTCTGGTGTGGAAAACAAATACCTTAACCCTTTGGCCCCTGAGAGTGACCAGCATCTAATTTCTCCAGACAATATCACCCCTGAATCACACTTTGAGGTCATGAGGATGAAGGAAATTATCACCAATAAAAGAAACTCTTGATTGTTAAACAAATTATCTTTGTCAGCACCTTAGGAATTATATAAAGATCAGTTTGGATAATATACATACTGATGTTAGGGTGTAAAGGGCTACTACTCTTATCAACCCTATCACTCCCTGATCTCATGAGTAATTCTCCTTACTGTTGCCATACAATTCTTATAACATTAGTTTGGAGAATTTGGTATTCAGTTGATATTGTTTAATTATTCTTATAATTTTTCTTCTTGATTTTGTATTAACATTGTAAGGAAAAAATTGTCTTGGTTTCTCCTTGGAGTTTAAGAGTTAAAGGAAGCACATGTATCGATCTCAAAATGAGGAAAAATTTATTTCTCTTCGGAACCAGTACAAAGGATTACAAACCTTTACACTATAGTACTATGGCTATGATTTTATAAATAGTTGTAACTCTCTTTAATCATGAAGTACAACATTAATTAAGTATTGTAGCATTGTCAACAATGTAGTCACTTGTAGAGCAGACTGTGACATTTCAACTGCATAAAACTATCCAATTTATGGCCCCAGACAAATAATAAGAGTTGAAAACATAATGAAACAAATAAAAAGACATCATCATTATCTCAGCCAAATTAACAAAACATTGTTGAAAAATCACAAGTCAGATCAAGACAGAGAAAGTTAAATTTAAAAGTGGCCAAATCAAAGGACTTCACTGTATTTTCATAAATGCAACTCACTCTTCAGTAGTCTCTTTCACAGCATCTGGGTCAGGAGAAGCCTCAGCCCAATCTGCTACTTCAGTCTGAGGAAAAACATCAGTTTCTTCGCTGCAAGGAAAAAATTCATTTATTTGTTGAGAGGCAGTGCTAGGGGTAGAAAATTTAGCAGTCAGCAAACACAAATGGAGCACAACAAGATCCAGATGTCATGACTAAGAGTTAACCATTTACTCAATTGCCCTAACTCAACCAAGCCAAAAAGGCAAT